GGAGTCCCTACTATTATTGTATTATTATCAGTGAGTTTAATTTTGTTATTAATTGGTTTGTATAATTAGCTGCTCCCATGTTAGGGGCATAAATATTTACAATTTTTAGATCTTCTTGTTGGATAGACCCTTTAATTATGATATAGTGTCCTTACTCATCTCTTACTACAGTCTTTGGTTTAAAATCTAATTTGTCTGATATAAGGATTGCTACCCCAGGGTTCTTTTGAGGACCATTACCATGATAAAACATCTTCCACCCCCTCGCTTTAAATCTGGAGGTATGTTTGGGTCTAAAATGAGTCTCATGGAGACAGAATATGGATGGGTCTTGCTTTTTTATCCAATCTGATACCCTGTGTCTCTTGATTGGGGCATTTAGCCCATTTACATTCAGAGTAACTATTGAAAGCTATGAATTTAGTGCCATGTATTACCTGTAAAGGCACTGTTTCTGTATATTGTCTCTGTTCCTTTCTGGTCTATGTTACTTTTGGTTTCTCTCTTTGCTTAAAGGATCCTCTTTAATATTTCTTGCAGGGCTGCTTTAGTGATCACAAATTCTTTCAGTTTCTGTTTGTCCTGGAAGCTCTTTACCTCTCCTTCTAAAGTGTTCTTGACTGCATATTTTTCTCATTTAGCACCCTGAATATATCATGCCAGTCCTTTCTGGCATGCTAGGTCTCTGTGAATAGGTTTGCTGCCAGTCTAATATTTCTACCCTTGTAGGTTATGGACCTCTTGCCCTGAGCTGCTTTCAGGATTTTCTCTTTGTCTCTGAAATTTGCAAGCTTTACTATTATATGTCAAGGTGTAGACCTATTTTTTTTTTAAGATTTTATTTATTTATTTGAGAGCGAGAGACTGAGAGAGAGAGCACATGAGAGGGGAAGGGTTGGGAGGGTCAGAGGGAGAAGCAGACTCCCTGCCGAACAGGGAGCCCGATGCGGGACTCGATCCAGGGACTCCAGGATCATGACCTAAGCTGAAGGCAGTCGCTTAACCAACTGAGCCACCCAGGCGCCCCGGTGTAGACCTATTTTTATTGATTTTGAGGGGGGTACTCTCTGTCTCCTGGACTTGAATGCCTATTTCTTTCCCTAGTTTAGGGAAGTTCTCAGCTATAATTTGCTCAAATATATCTTCTGCTCCCCCCTTCTCTTCTTCTGGGATCTCAATTATTCTAATGTGTCACTTTATGGTATCACTTATCTCTCAAATTCTCCCCTTGTGATCCAGTAGTTATTTATCTTTTTCTCAGCTTCTCTATTCTCCATCATTTTGTCTTCTATATCATTAATTCTCTCTCCTGCCTCATCTTAGCAGTTAGAGCCTCCATTTTTTATTGCATCTCATTAATAGCCTTTTTTATTTTGACTTGATTAGATTTTAGTTCTTTTATTACTCCAGAAAGGGATTCTGTAGTGTCTTCTATGCTTTTTTCAAGCCCAGCTAGTATCTTTATAATTGTTATTCTGAACTCTAGTTCCAACATCTTACTTATATCCATCCTTTTTAGGTCCCTGGCAGTCAGTACTGCCTCGTGTTCTTTTTGAGATGAGTTTTTCTGTCTTGTCATTCTATCCAGAGAAGAATAGATGAATTAGAGCATAAAATACTAAAATAGCAACAATGACCCCAGAGAAATATACACTAAAGAAATCAGAAGAGACCTGAAACCGAAAAAAAAACCCAAAAAACAAAACAAAAAAACTATAACCAGGTGAATGGAACAGAGCAATACAGTAGATCCTGTGTTTATTTTGGTTTGTTTGTTAGAAGAAACTTTACATCCGAAAATTGTAAAGAAAGAAAAACTTAAATATACAAAAATAAAATTAAATATAATGAAAGGATAGAATGTAACTGTAAAAATGCAAACTAAAAAGAACTTAAAAATAGAGTTGATAAAATAAGCAATTGGTTGAAAAGGAAAAAGAAAAAAAAAGAAAATTGAAAGATTAAAGAATCATGAGGAAAAAACCATGAATTCTGTATACTACTTTCCTCTACCACTGGAGTTTTGCAGTTCTGTGTGATCAGTAAACTTGGTATTAGCCAGATGTTCTTGCTTATCTTCCAAGGGAACTGTTGTGCTGATTCTTGGTTGTCTTTGCCCAGGTGGAATTGCACCGCCCTTGCCAGGGGGCTGGGCTAAATGTAAATGGCTCGGGATTAATCTATGTGGCTTTGTTCCCTGAAGGCTTTCAGTGCCGCTCTAGAGGATGAGAATGAAAATGGAGGCCTCCCAGTATCTAGCCCTGGAGCCAAAAGCTCATGCCCCACAATCCTCAGTGCACCCTCAGGGAATAGCAATCACTCTTGTCTCCCTGGTCTCCATCTGTACTCTGTACTCACCCAGCCTGGGACCACGCGTTTCTATCTCAGGCACACAACCCCACTTCCAGTCTCCAAACCCTACAGACTCCTGGGGTGCACACCCATGCCACTCCTCCCGGTAGAGGGAGGGGGATCTTCCCGAGGTTCTGCCATTTGCTAGACCCTAGCTCAGAGAGCAGTGACCTGACCATGCTGCAGTTCATGGTTGTATGGCAATACCAGCTGAAAGCCCATTCCTGGACTCACTGGTAGTAGCTTTCCTGTTCTGATGCCTGGGAACCCTGCTGCACTTAGGCACCCCTGTTCTTTCTGTGACCCCAGGGATCCTGAGACAACACCATCTCACCTAGGATTCTGCCCTGCTTCGCCACCCAAGCACCTTTCAGGCAGGGACATTCCCCATGGGAGCAGACTTCTAAAAGTTCCAATTTTGCACTCTGCTGCTATATCACTTTCCGGTAGCTAGCTTGCAGAGGCTCCCTCCCCCCATGGCTTATCTTCCGATATATCCCCTCAGATTCACTTCTCCATACCTCCTACCTTGCAAAAAGTGGTCGCTTTTCTATTTGTAGAATTGCAGCAATTCTTTTCTTAGATCTCTGGTTGAGTTCACTGATGTTCAGAATGATTTGCTAACTGTCTAGCTGAATTCCAGGGACCAGACAAAACTAATGTCCCCTACACCTCCGCCATCTTCCTCCTTCGAATCCCAGTGTCATTCAAAGCCACTGTTTCCTTGTTGATTTTGTTTAGATGGTCTATCCATTGATGTAAGTGGGGTGTTAAAGTCCCCTACTATTATTGTATTACTATCAATTACTTCCTTTATGCTATTAACTGCTTTAAGGATTTGAGTGCTCCCATGTTGAGTGCATAAAGATTCACAATTGTTGTATCATCTTGTTAGATTGTCCCCTTAATGATTATATAGTATCCTTATTTTTCTCTTGTTATAGTCTTTGTTTCACAGTCTATTTTGTCTGATAAAAGTATTGCTACCCAGGCTTTCTTTTGACATCCATGTGCATGATCAATGTTTCTCCATCCCCTCACTTCCAGCTGCATGTGTTTGTAGGTCTGAAATGAGTCTCTTTTAGGCAGCATATAGATTTTTCTTTTTAATCCATTTCTTCACCCTGTGTCTTTTGATTGGAGTGTTTAGTCCATTAACATTCAAAGTAATTATCGATAGGTATGTATTTATTTTCTTCTTACTTGTTTTGTGGTTGTTTTTGTAGTTTTGAAGTTTTTATAGTTCTTCTCTGATCCCTTCTTCTCTTACTCTCTTCTCTCACCGTAAGTTGGCTTTCTTTAGTGATGTACTTAGATTCCTTTCTCTTTATTTTTTTTTGCAAATCTGTTACTGGTTTTTGATTTGTGGTTACTACTAGGTTTGTATATAACATCTTCTTCATATAGTGGTCTATATTAAGTTGATGGTCACTTTCATTTGAACTCATTGTTTCCTCCTCCCCACATTTTAGGTATATGGTGTCACACTTTACATCCTTTTATTTTGCAACTCCCTTGACTGAGTTTTACAGATCTACTTATTTTTACTGCTTTTGTGCTTCCTACTTTTTTTACTCTTTCCTTTCCACTCAGAGAGTTCCCTTAACATTTCTTGTAGGGCTGGTTTAGTTGTCATGACATGAACCACTAAATGATTTAATGTTGCAAAATGCCTGTTCTGCATGGGTGTTGTTTATAACAGTATTGAGAAAAAAATTTATTTCGGGTGCCTGGGTGGCTCAGTTGGTTAAGCGACTGCCTTCGGTTCAGGTCATGATCCTGGAGTCCTGGGATCGAGTCCCACATTGGGCTCCCTGCTCGGCAGGAAGCCTGCTTCTCCCTCTGACCCTCTTCCCTCTCATGATATCTCTCATTTTCTCCCGCTCAAATAAATAAATGAAATCTTAAAAAAAAAAAAATTTATTTCTATAATTTTTATTAATACTTCCTTATTTTCCTATTGCTATTCTTGATTTGAAATTTTGTGTTGAAACTTATTTATTCATCAGATAATGGTAGAGATCATTTGGTTTTACAATATACCATATGTGCTTTAGCATTTTTTTTTTAAGATTTATTTATTTTAGAGAGACAGCATGAGAGAGAGCGAGTGGGGGGGGCAGAGGGAGAGAATCTTCAAGCAGACTCCCCACTGAGCACAGAGCCTGATGTGGGGCTCAATCCCACACCCCATGAGACCATGACCTTTACCAAAACCAGGAGTCAGATGCTTAACTGGCTAAGCCCCTGCTTTAGCACTCATTAATTCACATATATAGTATATACATACAGTATTTTTCCTCTTCCAATAATAGGCAGCTATGTGTTTACTGACAGCTGTCGGTGCTGTGGAGTTTTAATGGAACCATCCCTTTTTTAGGGCTAACCTAAGTTTCCACAAAGTGTTTTGGTCATAGATTTTTTTGAAACTAGGCTTCCCCCAGATTAACTTGACTTCTATGTAATCACCCTTTCTTTATTAAAAAATCCTATTTCGTTTGTGTTTCTAGAAGTTGAAGATCATGGTTGAGAAGTTGCTTAAGTCTGTTCAATATAAGTATTACTCTTGGTGAAATACTGTTTTTTAATATGAAATATTTATATTTAGCAGCTATAATAGGAAACTGATGGTTCTTTATATCTTATAGCTATCTCTCCTACGCTTGTCATCAAGAAATCACCACCACAAGAGAACAATAATATAGGAGAAGTCTTCCAAACAGTGATGTGGGAAAGGCATGCTGGCCATGACATTAAAGATTTTTGCATCAGGGTAATCCAGGAAAACATGCATGACTTTGAGTGTCATTGGAGAGATGAAAGAAATTACAAAGGATTTCCTGTGAGTTATAAAAATAATCTCAGTGGTAGAAGAGATCAACCTGGGAGAAGGGATATAGGAAGTAGGCTTGGATTAAGGTTACAGGATGAACTGCACATATGTCAAACCAAAGGGAGAACTTACAAATGTAATCAAGTTGAGAAGTCTGTCAACAATGGTTCCTCAGTTTTACCACTTCAAAGAATTCCTTCTAGTGTCCAAACCAATATTTCTAATAAAGATGGGAGTGATTTTATGTATCCTTCAAGACTGACACAAGACCAGGAAGCAAAAAAGGAAAAACTTTACAAATGTAATGAGTGTGGCAAAGCCTATTATCAAGTCTCACACCTCAGTAGACATCATATGATTCGTACTGGAGAGAGACCTTACAAATGGAATGACTGTGGTAAGGTCTTCAGTGAAAATTCGCATCTGGCAAGTCATCAGGGAGTTCATTCTGGTGGGAAACCTTATCAATGTAATGAGTGTGGCAAAACCTTTACAGTGCATTCAAGCCTTAATAACCACCATACAGTACATACTGTATGTAATGAATGTGGTAAGGTCTTCGGTCACAGTTCATACCCTGCACATGATCGCAGAATTCATACTGAAGGGAAACTTTACAAATGTAGTAAGTGTAATAAAGTCTTTAGTCAACAGTTAAGCCTTGTACGTCATGAGAGATTTCATAATGTTAAACTTTACAAGTGTAATGACTGCGGCAAAGCCTATTCTTATTGCTCACAACTCGCTAACCATCAGGTAAATGCATACTGGAGAGAAACCTTATAAATGTAATGAGTGTGGCAAAGCCTTCAGTCAACATTCAAGCCTCGCAAGTCATCAGAGAATGCATACTGTTAATAAAATTTACACATGTAATGACTGTGGCAAAGCCTTTTCTTGCTGCTCAGAACTCACTAACCATCAGGTAATAGACACTGGAGAGAAACGTTATAAATGTAGTAAGTGTGGCAAAACCTTTACTTGGTTCTCAGCGCTCACTAGACATCAGATAATTCATACTGGAGAGAAACCTTATAAATGTAATGAATGTGGCAAAGCCTTTACTCGGGGATCACATCTCAGTAGACATCAGATGACTCATACTGGAGAGAAACCTTACAAATGCAATGAATGTGGCAAAGCCTTTATTGGGAAATCACAGCTCACTAGACATCAGGTGATTCATACTGGAGAGAAACATAAATGTAATGAACGTACCAGTGTCTTCAGTCAGAATCCATGCCCTGCAAGTCATCAGAGAATTCAGCCTACCAAGTAACCTTATAAATGTTAATAACTGTAGAAAACCTTCAACATGAGGGCAAGCATGAATTGACACCAGAGAGTCCATACTAAACAGAAATTATAAAAATGTATCAGAGGCTATACCTGGTCCTCACAAGTCCCTAGACATTAGAATATGCATTTTTGACGAAATCACGTAAATGTAACGTGCACGCCGAGTCTTCACCCAAAGATCAAAACTAAAACATTAGGATTTATATTGTAGAGCGGTCTTGCAAAGGTAGTTTGTAGTAAGGCTTTGTTTCAAACACGCATACCTTTGGTATCAGAGAATCATACCAGAGAGGAACCATACAACTGTACTGAACTGGAAAGGTTTTGGGTCCTGAGGATTGACCAAAGAATTCATACTAGAAAGAAACCTTACAAATAAAATGAACATGTTAATTTTATTTTCACAACAGACTCCACATCAAAATATTTATACAAAGAATAACTGAAGTCTCTATTCTCTTAAGATTAATCTGAGACATCACATACTGCAGAATAAATACAAGTCAAAATGTTAAAATTCACAACATGATATGCATCAAAAGAACAAATATGTGCAAATGCCCAGTTCTCTTAATTTTACACGGCATTTTATTCAATCATTTGAGATTTCTTTAGAAGGCTGCTTCATTATCTATGAGTCTCAACCTGACATTTGGAATCTCTTGATAGGCTTCCCTTTCTGGTCTTTCATCATGGTCTCTGGGAAGGAATCACGAAGATGGAAGATACTACTTCATTAGCTGAGGTTCATTCATATTTATGTTCCCTGTTAGAACAAGGATTTTTCCTTTTAAAACTCAGTATTATTTGAATTAGGGAGGATGTGGGAGAATACTGTAGAAAAATGATGCTATAAGTCATCGTGCTTATTGTACTCAGGGGTGCCCTTCTCTAGACAGGCTCACTGTGGTTTATAGGAAAGGAATGTTCTTCCAAATGACCATGAAATAAAGCAGGCCAAGACATTAAGAGATTGGGATTTATATGGAAGGATAGGAATAGGTTACTGATTAGTAATAATAGAAATAATACAGGAGACAGTGGCTATGTTCTTTGGATGGTAATAGCGGTTTGTTTCAAAGATTAATGAAAATTAGTCTTATTTTTGACAGTTGAAGAGAGAACAGTTACCAGGAGAGTTAATCAAAAGAAGCAGTATAGTTTATGCATGTATATGATTCACATTTAAGTGCTGGTATAACTTTTGCTACTTTTCCCCCCACCTTTATTGAAGTATAGTTGTCAAATAAAATTGTATGATACTTAAAGTGTACATTGTGATGATCTGATATACATTGTAAAAGGATTTTCCCCATGTTGTCACAGCTATCACTTCACATATTTATCTTTTGTGTGTGAGAACATTTAAGTTCTCTCATAGATTTCAATTATACAATAGAATGTAGTTGCCATATTCTACATTAGCTCCTTAGTCCTTGTTGGTCTTGGAACTGAAAGCTTGTACCCTTTAACCAACCTCTCCATGTTTCCCCACACTCCCAGCCCTGGGAACCACTTTTCTAGTGTTTCTATGAGTTTGATTTAATTAACTGATTTTTTTTTTAAGTTTATTTTTTTTAGTTATCTCTACACCCAACCTGGGGCTCAAACTCATGACCCCCGAGATCAAGAGTTGTATGCTTTACAGATTGAGCCAGCCAGGCCCCCCTGATTGATTTCTTTATAAATCAGTGCATTTGAAGGAGCAGTCACCTCTTTCAGACTTTGCAGACCAGTTTTGGCAAGCAAAATCCCTCTCCAGCTAGGTCCTCAAACTAATGGGGTTGCCTCTGGGATCATATGACAGTGGCCTGAAGCGAGGTCACATGGCTCCTGCCTCATCCCCTCTAAAGGGGAGGGGAGGGGGCATAGTCACTGCATCTTTTAAAAATGGGATGATATATCTTCTTCTATTCATATGTGTGCTATGTCAGGACATTCTGCTCAATTTTACCTGAAAATATTTTATATGCTAATTTCCCTATCTAAACATTATATTTTGATTGACTGCCAGTTCTCTATGGATGAAATCTTCAATATGTAGGGATGAGAGAAAACATATTTGTAGTAGATGTTAACTAACAGATACTGCCAGAAAAATAATTCAGGGTAGATATAAATTTATTGGATATTTGATAATCTAATTTTACTTTCCTTAGGGTTCATATTAAAGAGCATACACTTCCCTACTGAATGCCCTTAGAAATATTGCAAAATTGATTATTCTTTAAGTGAAAAGAAGTCCCAATGTCTTTCAAAGACTACATGTTTTACAGGCTTTGTAAGTATTCAGGAAGAAAAGCTAAAATATATTACAATTTGTAAACAAAAAATAATTTCAGAATTGATGTATAGTGATTTTAAAATTATATTTAGATACTGATTTAAGTGTATTATGATGTAGACAAGTTAATCTCAGGTATTTGAAGGTAATTCATCTCAAGTGTGTAGCAGAATAATTATAACAAACATTAGAAATTATATTAGGCAATTTATAACAAAATTTTTTAAAAGTTACTGTTGTTGGGGCGCCTGGAAGGCTCAGTCGGTTGAGCATCTGACTCTTGATTTCCGCTCAGATCGTGATCTTGGGTCCTGACATCTAGACCCACCTCGGGCTCTGCGCAGGGCATGAGCCTGCTTGAGATTCTCTCTCCCTTTGCCTCAACCCCCCACTCGCAATTTCTCTCACTCACACACAAAAAGAAACAAACTTTTTTTTTTTTAATTTCCTGTTGTTTTTAAAGCAGTGGTTGGTAACCCAAATTATCATACGCCTTAGCCCTCCACGCCTCATAGCCCAGGTCTCCTCCCTATGAAAGTCTTCAGAACTGAGCTCAGCGTGGAGTTTAGCTTCCAGGGTGAATGGGGACTAGAAAAAGAAACACTATTTTGTTGGGTGTCAGTATAGCATTGCCCTTTCTCTCCAGGGGGAGCTTCGTGTTTCACATTCTAATTTGTAATCCCTACACAGACAGCTCCAGCTGTGTAATTAAACCTTTTTTTTAAAGATTTTATTGATTTGACAGAGAGAGATACAGCGAGAGAGGGAACACAAGCAGGGGGAGTGGGAGAGGGAGAAGCAGGCTTCCCGCCGAGCAGGGAGCCCGATGTGGGGCTCGATCCCAGGACCCTGGGATCATGACCTGAGCCGAAGGCAGACGCTTAACGACTGAGCCACCCAGGCGCCCCATGTGTAATTAAACTCTTAAATTGATTCTAACTGTCGGAAAATGTTCCTGGACCCACCACGTCCCCACAACCACCGAGATCCCAGTTCCCTGACCCCCGAATTACTTCAGCTTCACGAGATTTTACCTTAAAACTGTTAGAGATAGTGAAATAAGCAGGAAGCAAGGCTGCTCCTGAAGACAGGAAAGAATCCTTTTTACCTCCGGAAGTGACACCTTGGGAACGGCTGGAGCGCCACCCGCTGTCTCGCGGAACGTGCGCCAGCCTCCCAACTCCGCGCCCCGGCCGCGCCTTCTGACGGTCGCGCCCCCGAGGCCGCGCCTTCTGACGGTCGCGCCCCCGAGGCCGCGCCTTCTGACGGTCGCGCCCCCGAGGCCGCGCCTTCTGACGGTCGCGCCCCCGAGGCCGCGCCTTCTGACGGTCGCGCCCCCGAGGCCGCGCCTTCTGACGGTCGCGCCCCCGAGGCCGCGCCTTCTGACGGTCGCGCCCCCGAGGCCGCGCCTTCTGACGGTCGCGCCCCCGAGGCCGCGCCTTCTGACGGTCGCGCCCCCGAGGCCCCGCCCCCGCCTCGCCCCGTCCTCTCGAGGTACCTGCGCAAGCCTCGCCTCTCCGAGCGACGGCCCACCTGCGTGTCCGCTTCCTCGCGCCCAGTGTTGGCCTCGCCGGTCCGCGCCCCGCCCCTTGACGGTTGCGTGCCGCCTAGGCCCCGCCCCCGCGATTCTTGCGTAGGCCCCGCCTCCCTCTGCGCCCCGCCCCTCCTCTTCACTGTGCGCGAGCAAGTTCCTGTAGCCCCGGAAACGGAAAGCGCGGAGCAAAGGTCTCACTGCGCAGCGTGAGTTTCTGGTCTTCGCAGTCCCCTGTCCTCCATAGACGGGGTGTGGGGGTCGCTACGGGCCGTAAAATCCCCGCACCCGCTCCTGCAGCCGAGTACATGCCGACGTCGCGGTGGGAGGCCGGGCGCGCGTCCCTTCGGGTTGAAACTCGCGGCCAGGCTGGTCCCCGCCCTCGGCGCTTCCGTGTTGGGTCCACGCAGACGCCGGCTTCCGCGTCCGCGTCCTGCTTGGAGCCGACTTCGGACCCCGGCGCCCGCCCCGGCCCCGTAGAGCCCCCGTCGCGAGGTGGATTTATGCCCTTGGCGCCCCCAGCCCCCCAGCGTCGCGGTCTCGGCCCGGCCGGCAGCCCCTGCAGCCCCCTCGGGGGGGAGAGAGGTCCTGGGATTCTGGAGAGCTCAGCCCGCTTCTAGAATCGCGCCCCTCTGAGCAGCTCCCAGGCTCCTGTCCCTGGTCCCCTCTGTCCCTGGTCCCCTCTGTCCCTGGTCCCCTCTTCCCCCGACCCCGCAGTGCGGTGGGTG